GTCCTCGGCTAAATGTCTGACGTCCTAAATCAAATGTTTGTTGTTGGTCCTCAGCTAAATGTTTGACGTCTTATATCAAGTGTTTTGTTATTAGTCCTCAGCTAAATGTTTGACGTCCTGCATATGTCAACATTTCGTTTTTCTGGTCATTGGATTATGTTTAGTCGCTGCTGATCCACACTTAATGTTTAAATGGATTACTAGTATTTTTGAGCACCACTGCTGGTCTTCAGCTTAGTAGTTCACTTACCCCGTAAAGGCATTATAATGCGATCCAGTAACCTCAATAATGTTAACCTATAATAATTTAATTTTGCCTATCTCCCCCATTTTTTACACTTCAGAATGCAAAAATAACAACGCAGCTTTTTTTTTTTTAGCGCAATTGTTTAGTTTACGTAAAAATTAAATAGATCTTTTACTATGCATTTATGTTTGTCTTCTTTTTTTAAATTAAATTAAAAAGAATGCCCAAGATTTTGTTTTGGTATATACGGTATATACCGAAAAAAAATGTGCACTTTTTGCATAAACCGCGAAAAAATCTTGGGCATTCCATAAATATGTCCTGCAAGCGGGGGCTATACATTCCACGAATTTGCTTGTTTATTCCCAATTTTATCGTGTGAAAACTTCAAAGAAAAAAACATGATTTGGTGAAATGGGATACTTTTATACTATGAGGTAGTTTTACAAACAAATTATTACATTATGTTACAACAGATCGAAAGGGAAATTTCCTTAATGAAAGGATGTTGATTTATAAAAAAAAACCCATTGTGAACGCTAAGTTGGAGGTAATAGTAATCGGTTCTCCACTCTAACTATAGGTAATTCAGCGATATATCAGGATATTTTCTTCCTGCACCCGGAACATATACTCCTGTAAATGGTATATACCCACATATATATAGCTAGCCTATATATAGGAGAGAGCTAATTATAGATTAAAGATTGGTGTGTATGGTTATGTGTGTGTAAGTGGCACACAATACAATACCCAGGAAGAAGAGAAGTAAAATAGAAGTAGTATAGACTAGATCTTAATGTGATAGGGGGAAATTGACGGAAATTTCCCATCATCATCTGTTCAAATACTTATAAAAAGATCATAGGGAATGTTTTCGATAAGATAATATTTCTATTATTTTAAATTAAAATCCTGTCTTCTTAATGATAAAATTTCACCCTTTTTTCTTTATTAATAATGAAAACTAAAACGCTTCAATTACATAAACATTTGGAATATTTATAAAAAATCTGATAAGTTCGATACATTTTTGTGTGATCTGGAGCCGATTAACAAAAGCAATGCCATTCAATGATAAAAAACACCTTACTTTACGTTACTGCTGTTTGTGACCTCTGCTTACATCAATCTAGTATTTACAGGCTGTTCCCATCCTTAGGTATTTCTAACGTTTCATTGTGGTTAACATAACCAACCTGCATTAAACAGAACTTATATGTATATTATAGATAGAAAGATCCCCATTGAACAGACCTTATATGTATATTATATATAGAAAGATCCCCACTGAACAGACCTTATATGTATATAATATATAGAAAGATCCCCATTGAACAGACCGTATATGTATATTATATATAGAAAGATCCCCATTGAACAGACCTTATATGTATAGTATATATAGAAAGATCCCCATTTTAAAAGCCATGACACCTGACTTTCGTTATTAAATTAAATTTGAACGAAATGCATGCATATATACATAACAATGAAGACATGTACACGAGGTCTACATAGTGACACACGTTAAATAAAATATCGTGTTATATTTGCTGAATGATACACAGATTTTGTTCTGACTGTAGGACTTAAAACATTCCCTGCTGGTACAGTGTATAACTAATCTAATTCTTGATCCGTTTAACTTTCATGTAAACCAGCTACGTTGAACTTTCTGGAACATTTCTAAATATTTCCAAAACAATTATCGCATATCATATTGTACTTATCTGTAAGACTATTTGCTGGCTGATTTTGAATAAATGTATATAATTCGAATATAGGGTGTTTGATGAAAATGAATGCTGAGCACGTGTGTATGTGAGCAAATGTGTATTATCTAACATGTATATTATAAGCACATGTGTATTATAAGAACATAGGATGTTGATGGTTACTTATATTTAACACATGTGGTTATTAGAATTTCGGATATTAATGTTTCGCAAACGTGTGCTGTTACAATAAATGGTGTTGACGATAATTAATGTTTAACACTTGTGTGCTATTACAATATAGGGTGTTGATGGTAATTAATGTTTAACATGTGTGTGCTACTATAATATAGGGTGTTGATGGTAATTAATGTTTAACACGTGTGTGGTATTACAATATAGGGTGTTGATGGTAATTAATGTTTAACACGTGCATGCTATTATGATATAGGGTGTTGATGATAATGTATGTTTAATACGTGTGTGCTGTTACAATATAGGGTGTTGATGGTAATTAATGTTTAACATGTGTGTGCTATTATGATATAGGGTGTTGATGGTAATTAATGTTTAACATGTGTGTGGTATTACAATATAGGGTGTTGATGGTAATTAATGTTTAACATGTGTGTGCTACTATAATATAGGGTGTTGATGGTAATTAATGTTTAACATGTGTGTGCTATTATGATATAGGGAGTTGATGGTAATTAATGTTTAACATGTGTGTGCTACTATAATATAGGGTGTTGATGGTAATTAATGTTTAACACGTGTATGCTATTATGATATAGGGTGTTGATGATAATGTATGTTTAATACGTGTGTGCTGTTACAATATAGGGTGTTGATGGTAATTAATGTTTAACACGTGCATGCTATTATGATATAGGGTGTTGATGATAATGTATGTTTAATACGTGTGTGCTGTTACAATATAGGGTGTTGATGGTAATTAATGTTTAACACGTGTGTGGTATTACAATATAGGGTGTTGATGGTAATTAATGTTTAACACGTGTATGCTATTATGATATAGGGTGTTGATGATAATGTATGTTTAATACGTGTGTGCTGTTACAATATAGGGTGTTGATGGTAATTAATGTTTAACACATGTATGCTTTTATAATATAGGGTGTTGATGATAACTTATGTTTAACACATGTGTGCTATTATGATATAGGGTGTTGATGGCAATTAATATTTAACATGTGTGTAGTATTCCAATAAACAGTGTTGATGCAAATTAATGTTTAACATGTGTGTGGTATTACAATATAGGGTGTAGATGATAATTTATATTTAACACGTGTGTGATATTATAATATAGGGTGTTGATGTTAATTAATGTTTAACATGTGTGTGATATTACAATATAGGGTGTTGATGGTAATTACTGTTTAAGACATGTATGCTATTACAATAAATGGTGTTGATGATAATTAATGTTTAACACGTGTGTGATATTATAATATAGGGTGTTTATGGTAATTAATGTTTAACATGTGTGTGGTATTACAATATAGCTGTAGATGATAATTTATGTTTAAGACGTGTATGATATTACAATACAGGGTGTTGATGATAAATAATGTTAACACATGTATGATATTATAATATAGGATGTTGATGATAATTAATGTTTAACACATGTATACTATTATCATAAAGGGTGTAGATGATAATTAATGTTTAACACGTGTTTGATATTATAATATAGGGTGTTGATGGTAATCAATGTTTAACACATGTATACTATTATCATAAAGGGTGTAGATGATAATTAATGTTTAACACGTGTTTGATATTATAATATACTGTGTTGATGGTAATCAATGTTTAACACATGTATACTATTATCATAAAGGGTGTAGATGATAATTAATGTTTAACACGTGTTTGATATTATAATATACTGTGTTGATGGTAATCAATGTTTAACACATGTATACTATTATCATAAAGGGTGTAGATGATAATTAATGTTTAACACGTGTTTGATATTATAATATACTGTGTTGATGGTAATCAATGTTTAACACATGTATACTATTATCATAAAGGGTGTAGATGATAATTAATGTTTAACACGTGTTTGATATTATAATATACTGTGTTGATGGTAATCACTGTTTAACACATCTATGATATTACAATATAGTGTGTTGATGGTAATTAATGTTTAACATGTGTGTGCTATTATAATATAGGGTGTTGATGATACTTAATGTTTAACACGTGTGTGGTATTACAATATAGTGTGTTGATGGTAATTAATGTTTAACACATGTATGCTATTATAATATAAGGTGTTGATGATACTTAATGTTTAACACGTGTGTGGTATTATAATATAGGGTGTTGATGGTAATTTATGTTTAAAACATGTATGATATTACAATATAGAGTGTTGATGGTAATTAATGTTTAACACATGTGTGCTGTTACAATAAAGAGTGTTGATGGTAATCAAAGTTTATCGCGTTTGGCTCTATTAGACTATACATACTGTAATTCGTAACAATGTCTCCTGTTGTGATCTTTATGTTAGCGCCGTGGTGCTATTTTCTACTGTATATTACTTTCAGTGTGTTTACGTGTGTTAAAACCATTTAAACGAAGCACGCTAACATATCGTCTGAACGTGTAAGCAACAACTGACGTAAGGACGGCCCTACTGAAGCCCACACTGTATACTGCAGTAGGTGTATGTGTGTGTATAAACTTCCCCCTTTAACAATCCTTGTCGCCTGCTGGCCAATCACAAGCAATACGCGACGTCACTATATATTCATATGCATGTTAAAATAAAACAAAGGTATGTAACAAAAACATCTTCGTCCAATGGTTAGAATATTTAAATTTCAATATAGTACTAGTATGTTGGTACATTGCATTAGATATCATTGACGAAATTCAACTTCCTGATGATTGGCCGGTTAAGGACGGGAAACACCCTGTAAAATATCTTTATTTAGATATAGGGGTTCCCTATAGTATGAAATGCATGCTGAAGGTATATAAGTTTGGAAGATGGCTCTTGATCTTCATCACATACAAGTCTACTCACTTGAAATCAAAGCCTAGCCTCACAGTAAGTTTACGAGATAACCCACACGAACTCGGACTTCTTTCTCTTGCACGTGGACGATATAAATATGGTAAGTGATGTGTTTTAATCACATTAACGAAAAGACAGTCATCTATAACTTAATTAAAGTATCTAAAGTAACTCTAATCACAAATATTTTAGTTAAAGTATCTCAGTGATAGCTAGTAATTCACATTTTAATCGGAGAACTTAGTAATAGATATTCACATATTATATCTTAATTAAAGGATATAAGGAACAACTTGTCACACACATCCTTATTTAAGTATCAGAAGACTAGCTAGTCAAATGTTTACTAATTCAAGTATCTAAGGAATAACTAGTCACATATATCTTAATTTAAGTATATAACTTAACGCCAAGCGCACATTTCTGTATTGCTAATTACAATTTGACTAACGAAAAGCTAGTCACACAAAACTCTATTTCTTATTACATTACGGTTGACTAATAGTCAAGCATACATTTCTAAGTATTTATTACAGTAAGAAGTGTCAATAACACCTTTCTTTATCATTATTTATAGTAAACGCATAGTTTGTCATACGTATAACTTACCACAGTGCTAACGAACAATAAGTCACACAGGTCTCAAAGTATCCAACAAATAGTCACATACGTTTCAATTATGTTATCTAACCAATATCTAGTCACACATGTTATAATTAAAGTTTGTAATGAATAGTTTGTCACTCATGTCGAAATGAGATTTTTGCTTTAATAACAAATTAATGTACATTTTAACGGTGCCATACAATTGATAATTTTAGAGGCAGGAATGCATTAAAACAGAATAAAACTGATGAAGTTATCTTTAGGTTTAAAATTTGGTTAAACAAAAATCAGAATTGTCATTAACGATAATATTGTTCCTTTTTGTTTTTAATACTTTTCTAAAATAACTTCTTTAAAAGCATTATGGGATATATATTAATCGATTTGTATTTCATTTTGTTACAGAATCCTTGTCTAGCACTAGCTGTGATTGTCAGCCTATGTATGTTCAGCCGAATCACGGGGGCACCTGTCAGCTCCGTGTGTCAGAACCTTACTCCAGAGGAAGAGCAGAAAATGTTAGCAGATGAAGACATTAATACTAATTTTAACGACTTCTTCCTGCCGCAGATTTTGACAGGGGGCTCGGGCGGAGAGCAAGTATCTCTCGCAGAACTCCTAGTGCAAACACAAACAAATTATTCGACACACTGTCCAACAAGTCTACCAAGTAGTCAGTCTGCCCCCGTGTTCGCACGATCCTCCTGCCCCTGGTTTATCAATATCGACAACCAGCCCGACCGCCATCCCACAAGTATTCCCGTGGCTGTTCCCAGGTGTAGCCCCACCCAGTCCTGTGTCGGTATCAGTGAGGACCAGAAGAGTAGCTACGAGTGTGAGAGGGTCTACATGTCCATCACGGTTCTCAGGAAAGTTCATTGCACAGAGAAGCTCTTCAAGTGGGTAAAAGCAACGGAAAGGGTGGCTGTTGGCACGACTTGTGTGAGAGTCAAAGAAGTTCAGAGCAGCACATCCAATAGTGATGGACCCCCATCCATATAAGGACCAAACACCAGGCTGTGATTATGATGACCGGATTACAGCGTTACGTACATGGATTGGACCGAAGATGGTAATATATACATACAAATATGAAGCACTTTATCTTATTTAATTTCACTTTACATTGATGTTTTGTTGATACCAAACACGTTATGACTGATAAACGCAAACAGTAAACGGTTGTAAACCAAAATCAGTATTGATATTTATCAAAACAATCAGTGAGGTCTGTTCAGACTCTGTAAACATAAACCATTACAGATAATTCAGACGCAGACTGTTATTGTTCGTGACTCTTAATTCGTGTCGTTTGCCATTTGTTGTTAACCATGTGATGTCTTTACATGTTATTTATTTCATTTCGTATTTATTGATGCATTTATTTATTGAACATTCCGCATTTATTATTACCGGTCGTCTTTCATGACTAACTCCATCCACGAGTGAGTAAAGTGATGTGGCGCTAATGAGTTGTGACTTAAGATAGGATAGAGTAAGATGTGTTTGACTGTGCATGTGTGTGTATTAAAATGGTGAGGAAGACTATTATTTTAGCCAGAGCAAGTTATCTGTGTGAGGAAAAACTATAACTGATATTAAAGTGTGCTTGTGTTAGGTAATGAGGATGGGAGCTACAGTAACGTGTATGTAGAAAGGGGGCTAATACTGATGTACAAGTGTGTAGTATTTATGGGGAACAATTACCAATGATAATAAGGTATTGAGACTTTCAGTATTACTGCCATTGAAACATTTTGAATACGGTTGTGATGGATGGAAGGGTAAATCTATTGTGTATTTGTTTTTTAATTTATCCTCTGAAGAGGGACATATTGACATATCTGTGTAAGCAATAATATTATATATCAAACAGGGTTAGTTTTAAACACATTTTATATATAAATATTTTGACTTTACATTCCATATCACTTATTTATTTTAGACGAATTTATTAATAGTTTGGATACAAAACTGAAATTGTATTCGAACAAACTATCAACAATAGTTTGTGACTTTGCATTGCTGATATTTTTTGTCCTAGCTTTTTATGCTTTATATTTGTTACATGTAGGTACGAGCTGTTTTGATATAGACAGTCTCTTTGTGAGTGACTTTTTCACATTTGTGAATGGAGTGATTCGTATAAAATTTTCAAACAGAGTAGTGCATGCGTTTCACATAGGCTAACCCCTCTAGGTGTACTTAGTGAAAACGACAGAGCAGGTTAAGTTTGAAGAGTGATATTGGTAGAGTAGTAATTGATTTAAATGTTTTAGCAAGAAAAAAATGTACAGTGATGCATGGGGCTATTGACTGATTAAGTGCTTGATTAAGTGTATTTAGTGAGAATGAGAAAATCAGGCATATTTTTATGGGCTATTGTTTTTAATTTATACTTGATTTAATGTGTTTAGTTATACGTGTGATACTCAGTTCCAGTGTGTTTATACATTGATGAGTTTCTCAAAGGTTAAAACGAAACCGTGGAGTTTCAGTATAGGTTGAAATGAGGGGCGTAGACCAAAGTATTCAAGTCTTGAATGAATATCCACAAATGTGCAATATTTGTATTATGAATTACATGTTCTATTTATTTATTTTTGATTTTTTGTAATAAAGTATCATTAAAATTAAAAAAGAATTCCGTTTTGTTTCTTAAAAGACATAAAAAGTACATTGCTGTCGACAATTATTAACCAGATACTATTCTGACAATAAAGTACATACCAACAGCTACATGAACAGCTATAACACATCTGCATTAACGAACTAGATATTTAATTAAATAGGTGTTATTTACTTCGGATACCTAGTGATGATTTGACATAACAAGATGGTTGACTCTGCTACAGGGCTATCAAACCTTGAGGTTGGCCGTTGACTTGTAGATTGAATTTATTCTAGAACAAATAATATGAAATATTTCTGTAAGGATTTAGTATTTGCTGAGTCCAATAGTTGAAAATGTGATGTTCTTAATAGTTTTACAGGCAATATTTAGTACATTTAAACTTCGAAGCAGTGTTCGCCACTAATGAGTCAAGTTTGTGCAATGGAAGAAAAAGATCTAGGGCGTTAACGAAGTCAGAAATTATTCTTTATTTTATTTTTATATTTACCTTCGTAATTATTCTTCCTAAAGGTATTTATGGAACGTACAAACAAATCTTTACAATACATAAACACTTTATATGTGTTGAATAGTGAATATTGTTGAAAAACAGCCGGATGTCATCTTTGAAAAGTTGACTTATGCGTATCGTTACACCTAAACAGTATAAAACGTGTCGATAATAGGTCATTTACAAGACCGGTTTGTAATTACTTAGATTTTACCCAGTATCTCTGATAACCTGATATTTCATACCCGGAAGTCATGTTCGCATAAATACTTTTACTATTAAGCTTTAGTTGATCCATATGGTTCTGATCATCCGGTTTGTCTAATTGTTATAGCTATTGTGTACTATTTACCATGGTGGAGATCCTTATTATCGGCATCGCCCCATTGGTAAAGGTTGTTGTGTTGTTGTTTATCTTATCTACACATAACATTATTAATGCGCGAAACACAGGAGCTGACGTGAAACTCCATGACATCAAATAATGCTTTCTGTCCCATAGCATTTTACTATTTATCATAATATTGGTCATTTTCATCATCGTTAAAGAATGTCACAAATTGATAGTCAGCCAAAATTAAAAAGGCATACAATAGGGCATTTATAATAATCTCAGCAACAAATGACGACAAAATATTCGAGGTTTCAATACATCTATATTTGTGGTGCTTCAGTTGAGTTAATTTTGTAGAATAATATTCAGGAATCCACTGAACTTTATTACAATCCTTTAAACACACATAAGCACGTGCCTCACTATCATATAGAGACCATATTTGCAAGAAGTGTTTATTTCTTGAAATTGGCTACCGAAAGGAACAGCAGTATCATTCACGCTTATCATACGTGCAGAGCATTTTGGATTGCTTGAGCGCATGTACACACATACACCTTCACACCCACACACCTACACACCCACACATCACCACCATAATGCATAACATGCTGTCTTTTGCATCAGCTAGAAATAATCGTTATAAAATAAAGAACAAAAATATAAAACTTTTAAAATAAATCTTTTAGTAATTTAGTGAGACAAAGTTAGTCTTACAGAAACCGAATCAACATTTACAACAGTATACAATTTGAAATAATAATGCAAGCGAATTTTACGTAAAATATTTTCCCCATTTATATTAAACGGAATACGATTGGATTTGTTTGGAAAACGTATATGACACACAAACAACCGTAGAGGGAATGATCAATGCATCATTAATATACATGTACATACCATCGGGAGCTAATATACTATCAATGTTACCAACACTTTATATATAATATATGTTATGATATATATAGTATATGTAATGTTAAATATAGAACATGTATATGATTTATATACAGTATATGTAATGATATATATATATCTTATGTTATGATATATAGAGTTAATGTAATAATATATATTTTTCATTTCAAAATACTAATTGTTCAGATCTTAGATACAAATGAATTGGGCAACAGGCAAAGCATATGAGCGCCCTCTCCTTACAGTTATAAACAGTTTACACACATCATATTGAATTGAAGTAATGATAAAACATATATATTATATATATTGATATTTGTATGTCATTATTAATTTTTGAAAATTGTTGTTACAAAAACTAGATTGTACAAAAAATAGCAATTTAAAATGATGCTGGTGAACAGCACATAATATAATTCTGTGCTGGTATCATTCCACACACCAAAGCCATGTGAAAATAGATAAACAAATAAGTGTAATCCATTATAGTATCTTTAATGAATCTCTGAACCATTTCCAAAATACTTATATTCATATTGATATCGAGTATTCGACATCCATGAAGAAAAGTACGAGTATTTAATGGAATAGTGTCGTTAAGACCAGAAATGGAGTTCAAGAGAATGTGCCTTTGATTAGTATACAGAGTACAATGGAGGGAGAAGTGATCATGATCCTCAACAGGAGAAGTACATAAGCAGGCAGGGTTATCAATTAGGTGAGATTCAAATATATCTGAATTCAGGTTACTGGCACAGTTTCTAAGTTGACAAAAGGTAATATTAAATTTTCGATCACCATTGTATTTAAAAATGTCAGTACATTGGGGTTGAGAATCCATTTCATCTGAGTGTAAAAATCTCTTTTTATAGCTCCAATGGATGTCATTGTGGGATACAGGCAAGTTGGATTATTTCATTCAGACATCAGTTTCGGGAAGAAAACTGGCATTATATAACTGCGTTCTTGGTATAGGAACATCAAACATTTTATTGTGGCCAAGATGATAATTGTCAGTATTATTATTAATGTACGGTTGAATTATATCATAGACATGAGAGGGGCATTTCTTATTATATATTTTATAAAAAGTAATATATTGATGCAGCTGTCTTCTTCTATCAAATGTTATAAAACCTGATTCTCTATATAAGATATCATGACTTGTTCAACGTCTAAACCCTGAAATAATACGTGCTGCTTCTAGCTGGATAGACTTTAGGACACTGCATTTATTCTGCATACAGTTAGCCCATATCATATTTGCATATTTCAGAATTGGACGTATGAATGTGTTATATATTGTTTCAAGTGATTTTCTATCAATTTTTTTATTTCATCATTCTAAGAATACTGAACAAAAAAAGAAACGCACAATGAAATTATGCAATCAATAGCCTATGATATTTTGGGAAATTTGTACAAAATTTTATATCAATATGAAGGGACAAGTCTACTCTTTTCAATACTGTAGAAGAAAAGTATGTGTGACGTCACTCGTGTCATCATTAGTTACTCAAAGTGGGATACCCGCGAAAAACAAAATGACTCTTCAGTACCTGGTGTGGGCACCTTTTTCACGAATCCCTGCACGGATTCTCCTATGCATTGGATTCATGAGAACATTTATTCGCCTTAAGGGAATGTTGTTCCATTCTTGTGTTAATGCTGCGATCAACTGGGCGCGGTTAGTTGGGGGGGGGGGGGGTTGACGTTTCCTAATACGCCTGTCCAGCTTATCCCACAGATGCTCAATGGGAGACATGTCGGGGCTATACGAGGACCATTCCAGAACCTGAACGTTGTTTGGCGTGAGAAAATCACGACAGACTCTGGCAACATGCGGTCGAGCATTGTCTTGCTGGAAAATTAGGTTATGACGTCTGAGAAGGGGAAGGACATGTGGTTGGAGGATCTGGTCTCTGTATCGAACGGCATTGAGGTTTTGATCCAGGACCCTTAAGGGGGATTTAACTCCATGGGAGATGCCTCCCCAAACTATCACAGAATCTCCATCGAATCTATCGCGTTCAACCACGCATGCGTCGGCGAAACGCTTACCTAAGGTATGCGACGCAGTCTCTACAGCAGTGTTGAATCTGTTGCGCAAGTGCGACAATCGAATCGTCCTGTCTTGTCGTGCGGTCGTTACACGCGGACGATCGCTCCTTGGACGATCGGAAACTAACCCAGAAGCACGGAAACGTGTACAGAGATGGTTACTTGTATACGGGCCAACACCAAACTGCCATGCGACAGCAGTTTGGCTATGACCATCCATCAATATCGCAATTGATCTACCCCTCTGAATTTGCGTTAAGCGTGGAATCTCAGTCAATGGCGAAATCAAAATGCCAACGTGGAAAATTAATGTGGCTGAACTAAGAGTATCCGTTGAGATTGTTTGTTTGAAAAACTCCGGCTTGGCTTGATCACGCCGCGTGAAGTTCGCAAAGTTACACAATGACATCGTCACGCTTGGCTGATTTTAGGGTAGATTATTGAGAAAGGAGATCGTTCTTGATGGTATTTCTATACCTGACCAAATATTCCATTATTTCCTTACAGCTAAGGTGTACTGCAAGGGGGAACTTTGTGCTTTTCTTTTTTTGTTCAGTTTATATTAATTATTTTATAAGATTTTTCGTATATATAATTTATGAGGTTAGACCAATTAGCCTTGCTGTTGATAAACAAACCTAGGTGTTTATGATTAGAAACATTAATAATTGGTGATTCAGCAAAATGTAGGTTAGGATGCAGTGTCTCAAAGTCAACCCGCCTCGAGAAGAGCAGGGCTACAGTTTTATCTGGGTTAAAGATAATTCCCCATTTTTCTAGCCCAGATTGAAATTTTCCTTAGATCGTCATTAAATATATATTAGCACATTATTGCCTGTCTCCCTCAATGAGACCATGTAAGGAGGTATCATCAGCAATTAGTTTTACGATTGAGAACAATTATTCACCAATATCATTAATATATACATGTAATAAAAACAATAATGGACCAAGGACCGAACCCTGAGTTACCCCTGTCTCTAATGTTTCCTAATTAGACTTATACTCATCTATGACCACTTTCTGTTGCGTATTATGAAGGTATGTTGGGAACCATTCTACCAATTTGTTTACATATACCATATATTGTTAGTTTATAAATTAGACCATCATGCCAAACTCTGTCAAAGACTTAATAACACAGAAAAACAATCTAGCCTCTTTTACTTTGTCTAAAT